CCATGTATTTTGTCACCTAGATGAGACAAGGTGCATCATTCTTGGTCCTTCCCTGGTATTCTCATCCATTCTGTGGCTTTGCCTGCTCTCCATGCACCCATCACTCCTGGTTTCATTTGTCTCTCACATTGTAACAAGAACCTTAAGTTTTAATGGCTTAGGATAATGATTGGTCATTTCTCATGGTTATGAGCATTGACCAGGTAGTGCTTAGACTCCTGCCATGTATCAGCAACCCCGATGGAGTTCCTGGCTCCTGGCTTCAGCCAGGGCCAGCATGACCATTTTGGACATTTGGGGAGTGAATCCATGGATGGATGTTGTCTCTGTCTCTCCGTTTCTCTTTGTTACTCTGCCTTCCTGATAGAAATAAATTGTAAAAATAAAAATACTTAGACCCTTCTTCAATACCTAGAAGGCTTATAAATTAACAGTCTAAACAAGATTATAGAGATTTATAGAGTTTTTTAGTAATAAATTTTTTTTTTTTTTTTTGACAGGTAGAGTGGACAGTGAGAGAGAGAGACAGAGAGAAAGGTCTTCCTTTGCCGTTGGTTCACCCTCCAATGGCCGCCGCTGCAGCCGGCGCACCGCGCTGATCCGATGGCAGGAGCCAGGATCCAGGTGCTTTTTCCTGGTCTCCCATGGGGTGCAGGGCCCAAGCACCTGGGCCATCCTCCACTGCACTCCCTGGCCACAGCAGAGGGCTGGCCTGGAAGAGGGGCATCCGGGACAGAATCCGGCGCCCCGACCGGGACTAGAACCCGGTGTGCCGGCGCCGCTAGGCGGAGGATTAGCCTATTGAGCCGCGGCGCCGGCCTAGTAATAAATTTTTAAGAACCAAAGCAGAATTCATTTGCTGAAGAGTAAAGTAATCATTGCAACTGATTCCTTTGATTTTGAAAGCAAGAGCCAAGGAATAGAGAATTCAAACTGACTAGTGTGCAGCTAATCTTGTTATCCAGGCTGGTATCTGTACATGTACGGGGCATCACGGCATTCAGGTGAATCAAGTATAGTGAGCTGCCTTATGGAACATACACAGATGATCAGTTTTCCAAAAACGGGAAAAATCCCAAGAGAATATAGAAAAAAAGCTCTAATAGACATATATTAACCTAAAACATTTCTTTGATGACAATAGTGGCATCTTTTTGATCCTGGTGAACTTTACATTCATTATTATTGATGCACAGTCTTCATAGTACGGTACCTGGCTTTACTGGACAGTGTGGAGGGTGGCTGTTTAAAAAAGTTCTTGGAGGGAAGGGAGAAGGGCTTGGGTTGGAGAAGAAGAGAGAGATTCTGCACAGGGGGCTCTACTGAGCCTGGCTTGAGTTTCAGCAATGGGGTCTAGCAACTCAGGACTCCCTGACTGTCTGACGGTGAGCTCTGAGGTGAGAGATACAAGGAACGCATAAGAGAAACAAAACCTCTTGGGGATGAGCAGCTCCCTGGTTCCGGGTGTCCTCAGGCCATCAAGTCATGTCACCTCCTTTGATGGGTGAAGAAACCGCTCTTAGTGGAAGTGAGTTGGAGAGGCTGCCTTCCTGGCTGTGAGGGGAACAGAGGAATTAGCCATGGGCTCTCTGGAATACAGAGGCCCCTTGGGAGGAGTTCTGAGGTGGTTTCTCCAACTATGTAGCAGCAGTTTTTTCTTCTTTTTTCTTTTTCTTTAAGAACTATTTGGGTGCTCTGGGGAAGGCAGCCAGTCAGCTGGTCATGTTCTGAGCAGTACAGGGGAGGCCAGGAGGATGAGTTAGGGAGGGTGGGTGAAGCATTGTGAGTTGTCATCCTTAGGATGGCCTGACAGGGATATGCCTGTGAAGACCCAGGGAAGAGAGTCACGGACCCTGCTCCTCAAACCCCAATAGCCACCCCACCTCTGCCTACCTAAGGCCTGGTCTTCACTTGCCTTCCTTTGTCCTAAGGCTTTTTTTCCTCATCTTATTTAACAATGTGACTGTTTCCTGAGGGTCTAAATATTAAGCTCTCATTATGAATTCCTTATGAGGGGGGATAAGGTTATCATATACCATAATACTTTTCTTTTTTTTTTTTGACAGGCAGAGTTAGAGACTGAGAGAGAGAGAGACAGAGAGAGAGAGAGAGAGAGTTACAGATAGTGAGAGAGAGACAGAGAGAAAAGTCTTCCTTCCGCTGGTTCACTCCCCTAATGGTCGCCATGGCCGGCGCTGCGTGCCGATCCAAAGCCAGGAGCCGGATGCTTCCTCCCGGTCTCCCATGCGGGTGCAGAGACCCAAGCACTTGGGCCATCCTCCACTGCCCTCCCAGGCCACAGCAGAGAGCTGGACTGGAAGAGGAGCAACTGGGACTAATACCTGGTGCCCCAACCGGGACTAGAACCTGGGGTGCTGGCACCACAGGCAGAGGATTAGCCTAGTGAGCCACGGTGCCGGCCATCATAATACATTTCTTTTCTTTTTTTTTTTTAAGATTTTATTTATTTGAGAGGTACAGTTACAGACAGAGAGAGGGAGAGCCAGAGAGAAGTCTTCCATCTGTTGGTTCACTCCCAAATGGCTGCAATGGCTGGAGTCAGGAGCCAGGAGCTTCTTCCAGGTCTCCCATATGGGTGCAGGGGCCCAAGCACTTGGGCCATCTTCCACTGCTTTCCCAGGCCACAGCAGAGAGCTGGATCAGAAGAGTAGCAGCTGGGACTCAAACCGGCACCCACATGGGAGGCCAGCACTGCAGGTGGAGGCTCAGCCCACTACACCAGAGCGCCAGCCCCCATAATATATTTCTTATTCAAAAGAGAATAGAGCCAAGATGGCTGAGCTTTATAAGGTGGAGAAAGAGGGAAGAGGTCTGGTTCTTGGGTGAGGGGGTGTGTGAGGTTGGGATGGCATGCTGTGTGTGGCCAGAGATTCAGTGAAACTTGCGGATTTTGTTGACTGCTAGGAGAGCTAGAAATCTCCAGGGAGGAGGTAAAGTGGGGATTAAGTTCCACCCATTTAACCATATGGCTTCAAGCCCACTGCAGGGAAAGGTGGTGTGAAACCTTCGAGGAACTGGGCCTTTTCATCCAAGGGAGAGTTAAAGATCTCACCAGAGGTCAGAGGTGAGCAAGGATGAAAGCTACACGAAGCCAGAGCAAGGCGTCTAATTAGTTTCTGCCTCTCTCTCCTGCTGCCTGGCCTGGTATTTGAGGTGACATTTAAAGCCATTGTACAGATATACAATGGAACTTCGGTGGACTGAATGCTTTCTGGAGCTTGTGGAGGGGTGAGGCTGATTTCTCGGTCTCTCAGCTGACAGCTTCTCAGCCCCTGTGTATGGGGCCCTCTACTGGGCCTTCCTTTATCTTCCAGGATACCAGAGTCTACTGGCGGACTCAGAGTGCCCTCCCCTACGGAACTCCTAGGGAGTGTGGACAGATGAAGTACACTGTAGAATTCAACTGAAAGAGTTAAATGAAGTTGATGCGGAGGGTGAGAGCAGAGCAGCAGCAGCAGCAGATAGATCAATGTTTCAGAATCTTCTGGGGAGCTTGTTAAAAATGCAGGCCTTCAAGTGAGGCCTGGTTATCTATGTGGGCAAGCAACCCTCTAAGGTGATTCTTCTGCCCATTAAACTTTGAGAGCCTCTGAGATAGAGCATGTGTGATGTTCATTGGGAAAGGCCTCTTGGGAGAAGTGGACTTGAATTTCAGTGACTGGATGATACTCGTTTTGGATACTCTCCTCGGGTGTGGGCCTAGGGAGCCTGTTCACCTGGGGACACCAGGCTCTCACAGGAGGTACTGGCAGGTATCCCTCCCATCCCCTGGCTGCCATTGCTGATAATGTGTTGCCACAGGCTTCACTGCACTAGTTGGGTGCCAATCACCAAGGGACAGAAGTGCTGTGGGAGGTGGCTGAGGATGGTGTCTGCCGGAGCGTTTGAATCATGTTGCAACTGAAGCACAGCTTGCAGGGCAAAATGGCAGCCTGGTGGAGCCCACATTCCGAGGTGGGGTGGGAGAGAACACCAGGTCTGTGTTCAGCCTTCCCTGTGGTTTGCAGACACCAGCAGCTGTGCCACATTCTGTGTGGTCCTCACTTTCAGACAGTTCCGCATGTGTCCGCAGGGATGGCCAGTGCTGTTGAGGCAACAGTGGTCACTGTGGTCCGAAGAGGTGAATGGGAAGGACTGGGACGAGACTGGCTCTCTCCTCCCTCAGTGCTGCTTGCCTTCTGCTCCCTACACTTGTGCAGGCTCTATCTGCTTGGGAACACAGTGTTTTCCTGTTGGGGCGGGTTGAGAGAGGGAGAAAGAAATGGTGCCAAAGAAAGAAGAAATAATGAAGAGAAAGGAACACATCTATGTAATGACATTAAGTAAACCAGTGAGCATCTGGATGGGCACTGGCTCTCTGGAGGAGATGGGCTGTTGCTGGCCTGTGGACACTGCCTGTCCCTGTTGAATGTTTCTGTGCAGCCAGCTGAGTGGGCTGGAGGAACCAGGCCAATGGGAATAGATGTGCTTGCTTTGACCATGATGAAAGAAGGAGCCTCTGTGGATGGTTGTTTAAGGCAAAACAACAACAAAACCTACTAATAAGGCTCTCTGTCCTAGCCAATATCCTGTCTTTTCTAATTGCACTGCCACTAAAAGGCAACTCTATCGGTCTCTTGGAACATTTCATTCAACTTCTAGAAGGACTGCATTTAAACTAAGTCTCAGGAGGCTCTGTGGGAGTCAGAGAAATGAGCAGTGGTAGGCTGGGGAGCTGCAAGGAACACAGCTTGATAGGTTGAAGCCCATCTTGAGTAAGACTCCAGGCTGAATGGGGTCACCCTGGGCCTGACCCAGCGGGTGATGCTTATGTTTTTGGGTTCACTGTGTGTGGAGGAAGTGCCTGCACACATACTGTTCCTTACCAGTCCTTATTCCCTTCCCTCTGGAAATGAGGCTATGTGAAATGTTTCACTCTTGAAACCAAGTGGTATTGGGGGTGAGGGGTGGGGCGGCGGGGAATAGAGGATAGAATGGAGCCGACTTCTTTCTCCAGACCCAAGAATGGGACCTGGATTAGTGGCATTAACACCATCTCCAAACACTCTGGTTTGCATAGGATCCACATGGTCACTGTGACTTTCCGCCTCATAGTCAGGCACTCCTGCAGGGCCTCTCTGTGTAGGTCTCCTGCCCTGGAAGGCCCCCGCCCCCCACCACCAGTTCAGATTTCTCCTGATTTGTGTTAGAAAAAGCTACTTTGGCATTCTTAGGTGGGAATGGACTCTCTCTGAACCCATATCCAGGGACCAGAGTAAAAGATGAAAGGCTCTTAATCAACAAGTGACCACACTCAGACTCTTTTCTCACTCTCTGCCATGGCACATCAGCACTGCCTACAGGGGCCTCCTGTGTTTCTCCAGGTCCTGCCTGACTGAAGGCTTCTATCTGTGAAGATGTCACATTTTTCCCAAGAACATTTCAGAAACTCTATTAGGGAGGGAGAAGATTGTGCCTACATGTCACTTGATCTCACCTAAGTTGTTTAACCTCTTAGAATTTGCATTTTCTCCATTATTGACTATGGAAAGTGAGCCCCGTATCACAGACCTTGCAGGGCTGTTATGAGGCATGAAGGAGATGATGGATGTGAAAGTACTTTGTGAACTGAAAAGTACTGGCCACATATGAGCTAGGGATTCTTATTACTCACTATGTAGGAGATGCTGGGTCACGTCTCTCTGGATGGTGAAGAGGGGTTGCATTCTTGTGTTAACTACCTGCTAGAGTCTTGTCCACTTAAGGTCATACAAAGTAATAGTAACAGAGCCTGAGATACAGTGTTGGTGGTGGCTCTGCTGTCCCAAGGCTGCCCTTTAGGAAGGAACCATGAGGCAGCAGTGCTGGGGCAGAAGCTGGTGGGTAGAGATTATAGTTATGCCAAATTTTGCCTTCTTCCTCATAGCTCCTGCCCCTGGACATGCCTCTTTCCCAGTCTTAGCTGTCTAAAAGTCTGTGGCCTGTCTCATCCTGGAGGCCCACATCCCCAGGAGAGCCCGATGCTCAGGGAGGCCTGCTTGCACCTGCTGCTAATGGAGACCAGGAGGCCCTGGCATGTGGGGGGGGGCATCATTCTGCTAGGACAGTGAGGAGGCATTGAAGCTTGGCCTGGGATGAACAAGAGCTGTGTGATCAGTGTGCACATGGCTGCTGTATTTCAGCTTAGGGAACATGGCTGTCCTAGACCTGGGGTCCCCTCAGCATTCACTTCTGTGAGTGAAGCACGACCTCAGCATGTGGGTGGCCAGCTCACTGTAAGAGTTTCTGTGCAGGGCAGGGGTTCCCTTGTCATCCTTCTACAGGCTTTAGACAGTGCCCAGGGGCTGAGGTCCCGCAGACTTTCTCACTGCCATAAGGTGAAATTGTGATGGGATATCCAGACCCTTTTGCTCATTCATTTGTCAGTTAATAATTACTCAGGTTCTTGCAAAGTTCAAGCTCCTATATTAGGTACTTTGGGGGACACAAAGGTGATTATAAAGATCTTATCTTCACGGAGTCTATAATTAAGCAAGGGAAAAGGGCCATATAAAAAAGAGAAAACACAAAGGAGAAAACATCAAGGAAAGCTGCCTACCTTGTGGCCCTTGATTAGACACTGGAAAAATTAGGAGGGATTTGGCCATGCTGGGGCTGGGGAGTTGGGTGGGAATGCTCTTGGTAGAAAGAGGAGGGGTGAAGACATGGAGGTAGGAAACCATGGATGTATGGGCACATGGGGAGCTGAGGGTTTGGCAGGGGAGAAGGGCAGAAAGGTAAGGGAAAACCCTCCATCTGCCATTGCCTACCAGGTGCTCTGCCAGAAACATTGTATTCCTCTTTGGCTTTGAGCTTCAGAATACCTCTCCGGGCAAATACTCTTCCTGCCCATTTACAAGGCCAGGGAAGTATTGAGTGGTAAACAGGATTTGAACCCATGACATTACTGTGACAGAGAACCTGTGAAGAGACATAGGAAAAAATGGTCTGTGACTTTTTCCTGGTCATGTGGGTCTAGTAGTCTTGGGCAAGAAGAGCATGTGGGCTTCTCGGTGAGTCAGTGAGTCTCCCTGTCTTTTGGATTGGCCTCAGAGGCCAGGGTGGCTGAGCATCTGCCTTCCTACCCCAATCCTATTGGAGGAGGAACTGGCCTCTGCAAAGTGGGAGGCAGGGGAAGCCAGGAAGACGAGAGATACTGGAGTGAAATTTAGGATGTGGCCTTGACTGTGGGTTTTCACTCCCAAGGCCTCTTTGCAAAAGCCCTTCCTGCCTCCCTCCTCTGCATCTCTGACCTCCCCTTGGGTCCAGGCAGGCTCTGTCTGCACACGGCGTTTTTCTGCACTTGCTCCTTTGTTGCTGTGAAACGGGCTCCCAGCACAGTCAGCTTCTGTGTGGGAGGACTGGTGGCTGTCTTTGCAGGCAGGCATTTGCTTAGAGCAGGCTGCGTGTGAGCCCAGCATCGAGTGATTCTGGCCTTCTCGAGTCGGTGACGGCGGTGGGATGAAGCTCTGCCAAGGGGACTGGCTGTGAAGGATGAGTTCAGGGTGGGATGACGGACCGCTTCTGGGACCAGTGGTATCTCTGGTATCTCCGCTTGCTCCGGCTGCTGGATCGAGGTATCCTCAGTGTATGAATGCTTGCTTGTGTGTGTGTTTGCATGTGTGTGTGTATGTGTGTGTGTGTGTTTGAGAGAGACAGAGACAGAGAGACATGAAAACAGACACACACACACACACACACACACACACACACACACCGAAAGACACAGCAGAGAGAAGAGTAGGAGTAAGAAGGGAGAGAGAGAAGGAGGAAGGAAGGAGACAGAGACGAGTAGCAAACCCATGCAAAGTAATGAATGGCTGCTTGTTTGGGGACATGTGTGACCCAGCTGGGAATCAGGGTACAAGGCCATTTGGGGAGCATCTGTAAAAGAGGATTTCATTTCTTGCTGGATTTTTCATCAAGCTTGGTACTGTAGTCAAAGATAAGTTCAGCTCAGTCTTGCAGGGCTCTCGGTAGAACATCCTGAGAAACGATGTGAGAGGAAGAATAATCCCTGCCGGAGGAAGCTACAGGCTGAAGTCTCAGCTCTGCCACGGCCAGCTCTGTGACCTTAGGCTGATTTATGTGATCTTTCTGAGCTTGTTTCCCCATCTGTAAGATGGGCATGATAAAAACCTATTTGGCATGGTTGTTGTTGTGGAGTTGTTATGTAGCTTATGTATGTGTATAATGTCTCTCTTGGTATGCACAAGTAGGTGCTTAATAAATGATGCACACTTCTCCACAACATAAAACTATAGCACCTTTTGTCAGCTATTTGTAGATTGAGCCAGTAAATTGAGTTGTAAAAGGAAAAGGAAAGTCAGTTTTATTCCTCAGGTTAATCTGACCTTCGTACATTTCACCATCAATTATTAATATGATTAAAATCTCCTGATAATGTGACACGAACTGAGACATCCTATTGTAAAGAAAAGCCACTGTGACTTTGTTCAGTAGTTGATTTTTTGGAATGTTGAATGTTATTTTTAAAAGCTTTGGCTCCTTTAAGAAGTTCTAGCAGGAATGAGATCAAACCCCCAATGAGAAAACTGATCCTGAGGAAGTCCTGCTCCACCAAAGTGTGTTAATCTGCATCAGGGGCTGTCTCAGGTGTGCCAGGAGGTCAGTGGCACTCTATGGAAACAGAGAGCTTCCCAGAGCAGGGGGAACCAGGACCTTTATCCAAGGAGGAATCAAAGATGGAGGAAACCTGACAAGCATATGTGAAGAGCAGTCTCTCGCTGCACTGAGAAACAGACCAGTGGGAGCCCAGACTTCAGATGAGATGAGGATATTAAGGAGGGAGCCAGAACTTCATACTGGTAGAGATCACAGGCTGTGGGAAGGGCAGCGAGATCACCCACCTTCCTGTTTCCTTAGGAAAGTTACCTAGCCTCTCTGTGCCTCCTTTCCATTATTTGTACAAAGTGATGATGATGATGAAGACAACGACAATGATGACAGTACCACCAACTCAGAAGGTGGCTGTAAGGGTTAAGTAAAAGCTATAATTGAAATACTTATCCCAGTGTCTCCCCTGTACAAAGCACCCCTAAATTTTAGTTTTTTGTTACCAAGACAGTTAATTCATACTCTCCTACAAACATCTTGGAAGACAGGAACAGGTGGTATGTAATAACTGGGAACTGGGAAAAGTCCAATTAAGAATTGTTAGAGGCTTAGAGATAATTTATACTTATGGGAATTAAAGCAAGATTCAAACTGGCATGTGATGCTTAATTATAAGAAGAAAGCCTCAATGTTAATGTATGAGCTATAATAATACTAATTTATTTGTTTTTTTTAATAAAATGCTTGAATCCATGAATTGCAAATTTAGGTTCAAGTTCTGGCTTCATTACTTCCTATCTGTTCTTGAACAAATGATTTGCCCTCAGTTTTCAACCGAAAAATGGGTATTAATAATAATACTACCTATGTAATAGAATCTTGGGGAAATTTATTATGCTAATGTTCATGTAAAATGTCAGGCATAATGAATTTATGGATTGACAGATTAACCTGTGCCCTGAATTGCAAAAGTTTATTGCAAGACTTGTCTGTTCTTCCACGCATGTTTGATTACCACATATGGCTGCAATTTGAAAGTTTATGGTCTTTCATAAACAGTGTCTCTCGAGATTTGCTGAATGTGACGCTTTAGATTAGCAGCTCCTGACTGTGGAGGGCATCTGATTTCCAAACCTTTGGGACTTGGGTATTGATTATATTTCCCAGTTGTAGTTAATGGGCAGGACACTGTTATATGAGGGTACTTCAGAAAATTCATGGAAAATGAAATTAAAAAATAAATTTACCTTTGTGCAAAAAAATTGAAATCCACACACAGTTTTTGCACAATACACATTTCTATGAACTTTTTGAAGACTGCTATATGCATGGATTTGAATTTTTTCTGCACCCAAATTAACTTTTATCTCATTACTCACAAACCTGTTGAAGTTCTCTTATACCTCTCCGTATATGAATACTCGCATTCATATTCAAGCAGAATTTGGGGGTATTGCAACTTTAGTAACTAATGTTAGCTAATATTGTATAGAAAATGATATGCTTTAAAGTGGCATGCTAGACTAAGCTGGATAATAGGGGGTGCTCAATAGCTACTTGCTGAATGAATGAATGATGAGGAGCAGTGAACAAATTTTCCTTAGATCTCTCTTTAATATTTCAGAATTTAACATCCTTTATCTGTTTTAAGATTTTATATCACTCTTATCATTGTCATAGCTTGTGTCATCTTGAAAGTTATAGGCCTCAAAAAATGAGGAGGGAGTAAGATAAAAGAAGTGGAAAACGATGAGTTTGGGCTAGGAAATTGAAATAATTAACAAGCCATGTGCTAACCTGAGTCATTTGGTTGGCTGTGACTAGAGGATAAATGAGTCTGATTTGATATACCTAGGAAAATGGAGGAAACATTAGCACACATCATGAAGCAGAAAATAATCTTTACAAAGAAATAACAGTGCATGCTTGTTGATTGCAGACTAATGGTTGGTCTGTCCCATTGTAGTTCAGCTAAGGGTAAGGATTTAAAAAATAAAATATATTGTTTTCAGGGCTAACCTTAACTCTATGCAGAGATTTATATGATCATGGACAGCCATCTTGCTCACATGTTACATTTTGGTGATTCATTTTCATTGATAGCAGATGCTGTTTTTACAGTGTTTGTTCCTGGGCATTTGTCAGCTCTGCTGATTGCATTCTGTGCTTACAGACGATGACTTAAGGAGATGGTTCCCATGCAGGGGAAGAGCTCATACAGAAAAGGAAAAGGAGGTGTCCATAAAAGAAGTAATACTGTTTTTTTTTTTTTGTTGTTGCTGAGTTCTGGTGAATTCATAGGTACCTGAGAAGTAAGGTGTGGTTTACATTCCTTGTTTATGTGTATTTTGGGGAGGCTAGTGAGAGAAATGTGAAAGACTGAGTGAGGCTCTATACTCAATGGGCATCAGGTGGTATTTCCCTGTATGTGGGAATGTCCACCACTGGTAGTAGGCGAGGTGGTTTTAGGTGACTTACAATGTTGCTTGGGCCTTTCTTGCTGATCACTGCTGACTTGGTCAACACCTGTTTCTATTGGGCTGTCCATCTCCTGTCCCCACCCCATCCAGCACAGGTCCTCCTTATCCCCAGCCGTTCTTCAGCTGTCCCTTTGTTCTGACCTCTGACCTCTCTCATACCCTCCTACCAGCCCTGCTTGGGCCTCATGTTTTTCCTTCTTTGCTTCTGGCCCCAGATGTCTCTCCTCCTTGTCCCCTCGGCTCCTATGCCTCATGGTGTTCCTCCTATGCCTGCTGCTCTTCTCAGGGCACAGCCTCATACTGCCTGCTGCTGTCATCTCATTCCCTGGCATTCTTCTACTGTTCTCTAACCCATCTCCAATCTTGTATCTCTTTCCACCTCTTTACTGGGCCAGTGTGCCTTGTGGCTTGTGGGTCTCCAGCTCCACAACCACCCTGTGACTTCCCTGCCTTCTAACCCTGAATTCCTTTTCTCCTGTTGCTCTTACCTCATTATGTCATTACCCCCAGTCCACTATTTTCTTTTAAAAATTAAATTCAAAAAAAAAAAAAAAAGGCAGAGTTGACTTAAAACACTACCAGTAGGCCGGCACCGTGGTGCATTGGATTGATCCTCTGCCTGCGGCACTGGCATCCCATGTGGGTGCCGGTTCTGGTCCTGGTTGCTCCTCTTCCAGTCCAGCTCTCTGCTGTGGCCTGGGATGGCAGTGGAGGATGGCCCAAGTGCTTGGGAGACTGGGAGGAGGAGGCACCTGGCTCCTGGCTTCGGATTGGCATAGCTCTGGCCATTGAAGCCGTTTGGGGAGTGGATCAGCGGAAGGAAGACCTCTCTCTCTGTCTCTCACTGTCTGTGACTCTGCTTGTCAAATAAATAAATAAATAAACACTACCAGTGACATCGCAGTGTGGGAGTTACATGGCGGTGATAGAAGTACAGAAGTGACTGATGTTTGGGGAATGTAGGGGTATGCTGGGTTTACAACACAGGTTTTAGACTGCTGACCTGTTTGGTGCTTTGTCTACATTCCTGTAACTACCAAAAAGTACTTAGGACTTGGGATCAGAAATCAACTGGTTCTCATCCTTCAGTGCATTGGAATCATCTGGGAGCTCTTAGAAAACACAGTGTTCAGTTCCTTCCTTCTAACAGTCCCCCTTCCCCAGCCCCCACCCCGCTGAACTAGAACTGCTGGAAAGGGGACAGGATATGGATATTTTTAAGATTCTGTAGGTGATTCTAGTGGCAGCCAGGGTGGGGAGCTGCTCCTTGCTCTCCTTTCGTAAGAAAGCCAGAGCGAACAGGCAGGAACGACTCTTGGGAAATGTAACAAACAAAAGAGACAATAAGTGGATGTAGTAAACACAAGAGTAAACATAAGGATGTACTAAGGTACAGAATGCGAAAGAACACAGTCCTTTGGGAACAGTTCATGTAAACTTCCTTCAGAAACCTCAACTTCAACTGTTTTCTATTACTACCTAAGTAAACCTTGACTTTCCTTCATATTACAAGGGAAAAA